AATAAAATATAGGTGTAAAATGTCTTCTTGTCAGGATCCTGTTTGTCATAAATTTCTGGACATAGTTTGTCGTCTGTGGCAAAAAAAAAATGATAGTTAAATATTTAATTTGTTTGAGAATTATTCCCAAGACTATTATTATAGGTTCACTTATTTGGTGCTATAAAATTTTTATATTTCAAGAAGCGTTTGATGTGTATAAGACATGTAGTAATGTTAATGCCCCCCAGCCCTCTAACAGCAGCCTTCAACTTTAATGTTGAGTTTGTTTCATGAGTCCTTGTGAGGAATGATATTCTGGGCAATGATTGTTCATTAATACAAACAGATTATAGGAAGAGTAAGCTTCCCATCAAAAACCAAGCTATAATCAGAGACTAAAATAGTGATTAAAACCTGAACACGACTCTGTTCCTGGATGGAATTGGAAAGTAGATGTGTCTTATATTCAGCATCTGCCCCTCATGTTTAGAGCTACCCACTCCCTCACAGAACCACCCACCCCTATCCTCTTCCCCACGTGCCAGCTGCCATCCGGGTACTCAGAGCTTCTTGGCCCATTGCACATACCTGCCATCATGTTTTGGTACCAACATAGCATCCTTTGGGTCCCTTCTCAACCAAACTTCCTTCTCACCCAAACTTCTCATAATCCAGAATGTGGCTGCCTTAGAGTTTTATCAGAATTCTTCTAGACACAAGTAGTGTGTTTGTACAAAGTCAGAATTCTCAAGTTACAATGGTAAAACCCTGTGAACACAAGATGAGTCAGCATCCATCATGTGATGCTGTTTGCTCAGTCTCACTTTGATCCGCCCACTAAACAATTCATCTTCAACAGAACTTGGGGTGCAGAGGGGATTGGGAGTCTGTTAGAGAGAAAACTCTAATCACAAATGGAAAAAGCATAGATGAGAACATATTTAGATAAAAAATAAACATTTTCTTTTTGCATTGTCACAATATTTATTTTCAAATAGTATTAAAGAAAAACATAAAATTTCTATATTTTCTAAAGGGGAAACTAAGAAATACTCTATTGTCCCTGATCAAACATAATGTTAACAAATGTCTAGACCATTTGCATGTCTTTACTTCTCTTTACTTTAAATGATAAATTTACTCACTTGCAACTAGCTTAGTCTTTCCCCCATTTAGAAGTAATTAAAATTATAATTAATAATTATATCTATTTACTCAGCTGTCTTTGGCACAATTTGAAAATAAAACAAAATTTCTGGAAAAAATAAAAAGAGTCACATGGATCAATAGGAATGCACAAAATCCCAAGATTTTCATTGATTCCTTCTTTCATTGTAAGATTTCAGGCACAAAACTGATATTGGTCAATATAAATTTTGGCAAAATATTCTTGTAGTTCTCCCAAAAAGTCAAATTGTCTCACATTTATGGTGTCAAATGTATTCTCACCTCACGTCAGTAGTTGCTGAAAATTTAGTTCCAAACTTCAAGGTGGTGTTAGCAAGTCCATGATAAGAAAAGTAAGTGCAACACAATGTGTTTTTCATGCAGTTTATTTTATTTTATTTAAAGATTTTATTTATTTGCTTTTAGAGACAGAAGAAGGGAAGGAGAAAGAGAGGGAGAGAAACATCAGTGTGTGAGAAATACACCAATCGGTTGCATCTCACACTCCCCCAACCAGGGACCTGGCCCGCAACCCCAGCATGTGCCCTGACTGGGAATCAAACCAGTAACCTTTCAGTTCACAGGCTGGTGCTCAATGCACTGAGCTACACCAGCCAGGGTGAAGTAATTTTATTTATTTTGAAATATATTCCTTTATTATAATGGTATTCCCTTTCTTCTTTTTAATGTTGAAATACATCTGACCTTTATGAAACAATGGTGCCAGTAGATGGTAATTGTTTTAATGTTTGCATAATGTTTTTAATTTAACAAAATTAAAAGATGGAAATCTTGTTTCTTTACTCAATTTATTCCACTAAAGGAGGACAGATTTTTCTTCTATTGTAAAGCCAAAAGTCTAAGAACAGCTGTTCCATATTCTGTTCTCTGCTTCGTATGTGTTCTAGGAGAGACTGAATCAGACTGTGGGTGGCGAAAACAGCACCAAGGGTTAGATGGGTGGGGTCAAACCAGACCTTGGTTCAGCAACCTTAGTACTTGAGATCTGGTTAGGAAAGAATTCAGAACCAAGACTCAAACGACAGAGCGAGTTTATTTAGAAAGTCACAGAGGTAGAAGAAGTGAGCCATAGAAGAAATGGATTCAGGAATCAAGTTACAGAGGCAGAAGAAGGGTCCCTGGAGCTCAGGAGAGAAGGTAAAGGTAACACTGGGGGTGGGAGGAAGAAGAGGAAGGGGAAGGCTCAGGCATGCTCCCCGGGAGGGAGAGGCACTAGGCCCTCCATTCTAAGGGCTTTTAAGAATGGGGATTTCAGGGGCAGTCCTAGGGAGGATAGCAATAGGATATGCATTAGTTTTACACGTGTGTCATTTCAGGATTTTGGTTTCCACGGATTGGTCAGCACTAAGGGAGGGGGCCATTAGTCAATACAGCTGGTCCTGAGGTCAGCAGGGCTTCATCTGTCTGGTTTTGCTCCTTTTCTGGGTCTGAAGCTGAAGCATAACTGAGGCCTAGGTGTATCTGATGTGGGTCAAAACCTCATTGTTTTCAGACTTAATGCTTAAGGGCTATTATCTGGCTTCCATGTTCATTCATGGAAGGGGAGGAAAGGTCAGAGGAGGGCCCAAACCCCACAACCAGCAATATGCTAGAGGAGGAAAGGTGACCCTGAGGGTGAGGTCCTTGTTTGAGGCCCCCAGGGGCTTTCCAACCTGGTGTCTTTCTGTACCTGGTCAATCACCCTTGCTCTGCTCCTGTCTAACTGCCTTCCACAAGACTAGAGCTAGGAGTAAGAAGGAGAGAATTTCAAAGATGCTTTTCAAGTTATAAACTGGTTTTCTCAGTTGTGAAATATTTGATACTGATACTTTTATTTTAACTGAAAAGATGTTTCTGAATTGAAAAGACCCGAGCCCCTGAGTAAATTTAGAAAGTGTTTTCTTCATCTACACAAAAGGATTTTAAGAGCCTGTCTTACTTCTGGACTCTTCGCTGTGACTACAAATAATCATTTCAGACATCTGTCTTCAGAGTTACCAGTTTTTTTCTTTAATACAAAAACTGAGGTTAGCTAGAACCCAGTTGCAAAACATAGACAGAAAAGCAATTCTTAATCACTTCAATGTGTACAATTAATTTTTATACTCACTCCTTAAAAACAGAGAGCTGAGATGAGTGTCTGCAAGGAAAAGAAAATATGTAATTAAATGCCCTTCAGTTTTTTTAACTTCAGTAAAATTTCATCATTGCATAAAATTTTATTGTTATTCTTTGCAATTACCTCTTTCCTCTCCACTTCCCTCTTTCTTATTTAGAATCGTTAGTTTGACGTGTGAGAATTTTTTATATGACTAAACTGTTAAAAATTATTTTTAAGGACAAAGAATAGTCAATATTTTATACTTTTTTAAAAAATATGGATGTAAGCCCTGGCTGGCGTAGCTCAGTGGATTGAGCGCGGGCTGCGAACCAAAGTGTCCCAGGTTCAATTCCCAGCCAGGGTGCATGCCTGGGTTGCAGGCCATAACCCCCAGCAAACGCATTGATGTTTCTCTCTCTCTCTCTCTCTCTCTCTCTCTCTCTCTCTCTCTCTCTCCCTCCCTCCCTCCCTTCCCTCTCTAAAAATAAGTAAATAAAATCTAAAAACAAAATATGGATGTAGATATGGACTTAAGCTCCCACATTAATCAATCATTTTTGCAAATTTTGTGAAAAGCACTGTTTGGGCACTCTAAGCATTGAATTGCAGTATAAATGTCCACAACAACCTATTAATATATGCTTTCAAAATACTTTTTGTAGACCAAGCCAATTTTACGGTATTTTATGGACAAAGAATTCAAGAATCCTAACATTCTTTGCCTGCCCAATTCATCTCTCTCCCTCCCTCCCTCCGAAGTTTTGTTTGTCCCCCTCTCCTCTCCAGACTCTAGTTTTAATTCCCTTAATTCTCTATTGATTTAATTAAACGAACAACCACGACCCAATTCCAGCCACCTGGTTCTCTTGGACCCTTTGCCACGTCCTCCGGCTTCCCCACCAGAGGCCCTTCTGAGCCTGAAGGCAGGACGAGCGCCGAAGGAGGAGCCGGCGAGGGGGGAGCGCGAGCGGTTCAGCGACCGACGGAGCTGGGGGTGGCCGGAACCAGGAGGCGGGAGGTAGGCGGAGGACAACCCCACCGCAGTTGATAAACCAGCCGCAAGGTCACTGGGAGGGGAGCTGCGGCGGGATTGGAGGCTACTCCTTCCAGCAGGGGGTGCCTCGGAGAGGGAGCCTGGGGCGCAGCGAGCGCGTCTCTCCGGCGCCGGCATCCCTCGGGCCTTGGGGGCAACAGCCGGCGGCGTGGCCCCGAAACCCGCCCCGGATTCTGGCGCGTTAAGGCATTTGAAGGCTCTGGTTTCTCAGCCGTCGACACCGAGTTTCTGCCGGTTCCAATTCAGCCTCCAAGTCGCAGCCGCTGCAAAACCTACGCTGACCCTGGACTGACTTTTCCCGAGGCGGTGGGTTTCGCGTCGGGCCACTGAGGCGCCGGGAACTGACCCAACCCGCCCGAGGACCGGGCTGGACAGTGCAGCGGGACCGCCGTCGGGCGAAGGCGCTGCGCCACGGCCCCTGGAGGCTGCCAGTGTGATTTCGCCAGAATCCTGCTCGCTCTTCTCTGCCACCAGGTGTCTCAAGTCTTATTCCTGGCATCCTCTCCTTTCCTGCAAACTTTCTCTGAAAACTCCTAATTCTGTTTCACAAGTTCTCTCCCCAGCTATCCTAACTCCACCCCCAAAGGCTGGTATAAACTGCAGGCGCCAGTCCTGAGCCCTGAGAACCGGCCTGGAAGAGAAGGACACTCACTCGGCAGGCTGGGATCAGAGGGGCATTCTGGCCCCGCGGCCCCCATGCTGCTGTTTTGGATATCAGGTCTTGGGGCCGGAATAGTCTTACTGCACTTCGTGCAGAAACTCCTGTTCCCTTACTTCTGGAACGACTTCTGGTACCTGCTGAAGGTGGTTTGCTGTGGAATTCGGCTGCAGCTGTACAGTTGGAAAGGGCAGCTCGTCACTGTCCTGGATAAATTTCTGAGCCAAGCCAAGAAGCAGCCCCAGAAACCTTTCATCATCTACGAAGGGGACATCTACACCTATGAGGATGTGGACAAAAGGAGCAACAAAGTGGCCTATGTCTTCCTGAACCATTCCACGCTGAAAAGGGGGGACACTGTGGCTCTGCTGATGAGCAATGAGCCCGACTTTGTCCACGTGTGGTTCGGCCTAGCCAAGCTGGGCTGTGTGGTGGCCTTCCTCAACTCCAACATTCGCTCCAACTCCCTCCTGCATTGCGTCCGCAGCTGTGAGCCTAGGGCCCTCGTGGTGGGCACAGGTAGAGTATGGGGTGTCCTCTGCTGCAGAATGTCAGCCCTGACCGTTCTCCAGCTCCTCCGTTTTTGTTTTTGTTTTTTGTTTTTCTGTTAGAACAATGCACATTTAATACTTTGGGTTGTGTGATGAAACTGGCATGCTACAAAATAATTTTACAATTCTACTACTGGCGGTTTAATACCCCCTCTCCCACTTTGATCACTTATTCTGTTGTGGATTCGTAAATATCAAGACAGTTTCAGAAAACTTATTAAATTCCTGCTTCTAGCTATTTGGGGAGAAGGACAATTGTACTGCTATTTATTATCGCTTCATTGAATGCAATAACACACAAACTTAGAACTCAGTTCTAGATTTTATCAGATCTGACAAGATTAATTGATGAGTAGGAAAGTTATCTTGATTTCATTGTAGAATACCACCTAACTGCCTCTAATAGTAACACTATCAAAGCTGACTACATTCTCACAACAAACATGTTTCATCAGAAGTGTCTGAATTTGTCTTCATATCTATTGTTATTTTGTACCACTCATAAGTCAGGATTTGCCTGGCCAGGCTGGGTGCCCACCTCGCAGCCAGTGGCGTTTCTTGGTAGATTCTGGGCCTCTTTCGCACTCTTCCCTGCCCACTTCTGTACATCGTTACTTTATTTCTTTTTCTTCTTCTCTTTTTAGACAAATAGGAAGCACAGTTTTTATTGTTTTGATTCGTTGTAATGGAATTTATTGAGGTGACATTGGTTAATAAAATTACATAGGTTTCCAGTATACAATTCTATAACACATCATCTGTGTATTGTCTTGTATGTTCACCACCCAAAGTCAAGTCTCCTTCCATCACCATTTATCCCCCTTTAGCCTCTTCTACCTCCCTTGCCCTCTGGTAGTCAGCATACTGTTTTCTGTGTCTATGAGGATTGTTTTATTTATTTAATTTTTTTGCTAAATCCCTCCCTCTTTTTCACCCAACCGTGCAAAAACCCTCCCCTCTGACAGTTTGTTCTCTGTCTATGAGTTTGTTTCTATTTTGTTTGTTAGTTACAGTGTTCATTAGATTAAACATATGAGTGAAATGTTATGTACTTGTCTTTTCTCTGACTGGCTGATTTCACCTAGTATAATGCTCTCCATCCATGCTGTCGCAAAGGGTAAAATTTCCTTCTTTTTTATGACTGAGTATTCCATTGTGTAAATATATCACACACAGCTTTCTTTCATACAGTAAGTTTTAACCTTCTTTTCCCTCCCCTTGGAGTTAGGCTTTGGATACACATGTGGAGCCTGAGCTAAGAAGAAAAGTCTTTGGTTTAGTGCCTAATTATTAACAAAGAACCTACGAAGATGGGTTGCATTACAAAGTATTGTACACTAGAAATGTGAAAAAAATGATACTTATTCTCTGAACTGTGGCAATAAGAAGGATAAATAAGTCACAATTTTAATAACGGTGAAACAATGTTTATCATTTGTGCAGGTTGCAGTTTCTAGAGCAAATCTAAACCTCAAATTTGTGTTACAAATTGATAAGCCATAAATTCCCTTTAGAAAAGCAAATTAAAAGGCCACAGTATCCTTGAAAATTCAGTTTCTGGAGCCAGGATGTTAAGGCCAACCTGAGAAACAGCCAGTCTCCTGAAGGCCTCTTAACATGAATAGGCCCGGTTACTCTCAAAATAGAGTATGCAAACTCTGCTGTTGACTAAGTTGTTGCTTAATTAGGACCAATTAACTTTGCAGTTTTACTTGTGCCTGCTTTTCCTTTGATTGCAGTAACTAATTTCATTATTTCCTTGTTTTTGTTTTGAACACTAACAGTCACTTTTTTTACATATGAAAGCCACTTTGGGATGCCAGAGTTTGTTTGTTTTTTAAATCTTCACCTGGGGATATGTTTGTTGATTTGAGAGAGAGAGAGGAACATCAATGTGAGAAACATGGATTGGTTGCCTCCTGTGTGCACCCCAACTGGAGATGGAACCCACAATGTAGGCATGTGCCCTAACTGGTTATCAAACCCAAAATCCTCTCAGTTTATAGGATGACGCTCCAACCAACTGAGCCACTGCCGGGGGCAGATGCTGGAGTTTTAAGCCAGAACCATTTAGTCGCTCTGCTTAGTAAGTAGGTAGCTGAAGAAATCAACCTTAAATCTTACTAGTGGTTCTTTTTTAGCATACCTCCAAAATATATAAATTACATAGGTTTCTAAAAGATGGGACATTTCTATTTTGATTATTAGATTTTTTAAGACATAGCTTAGATAACTTTTCTGTATTTGAAGCTCTTACCCTGAAATACTGTGTTCTTGGCATTTTGAGTCTAATCAGTGAACAATATATGCATATAGTTTTTAGAATAAATTTCAGAGGCATTAGATTCTCATTGGATATTTCAGAGAGAGATGTACAGTTAAATCATTATATCCCCAGGGAAAGTAAGTATATGGAGATGGAAAGACCAGTCAAGTGATTTAGACAGAAATTAGTCAGACAGCCTTGGGTTTCATTTATGGCCTTCCATTTCTCAGCTGTGTGATAGAAGATAAAATCAGCTAGATGCCCTGGGCTCACTTTGCTTAGTTGTAAGATGGTGATAATACCATCTACTTCATAGTGTAGTTCTGAAAATTAAATGACATAGCTTTTGGAAAGTGGTTAGCTGAGTGCCTGGTATGCACTGACTACATCCTGAGTGAATTGAAATAATTGCTATTATTATTACAGAGTCACCTGAGGCTTTTGATTGGCATCTCACTAGGATTTTGCCTCTATAACCTTCTTTGTGTTAGCTATGAGAAAAAAATAGCAAAATTTTATTTTTCGGAAGTATTATAGAACCAATTTCAAAAAGGTTTTACAGACAGGCCAGACAATGTCCATCCATGGTGACAGGTGAACTTGCAGTCGTGGCAGGTGTCTAATGACTTCTGTCTCCAGGAGCAAGCCGAAGGAAAAGCCAAGCCATGGGGCTAATGTTATTTTTACTGTCACTGTTCTTAACAAAAATATCAGCAGTTGGCATTTACTCAAGGCTGATTGGGTAAAAGACACTCCGAGTGATTCTGAGAGGCAGATGCAGAGCTCTGTTTGGGAGACTGGGAGGGAAAGAAATTCACCTAGGTGACTAAGATGACACAACTCAGTAGGTTCCCAAGCAAAGACTCTGGTCTCTGATGTCAGGCCCTGCTGTGCTGTACAGCCCGGTTGTTTCTGGGGCTGTCAGTCCCCTTAGGATATAACTATGAAAAGTACACGCATTCCAGTTATGCAAAGATAGCAAAGTACAAGTTGCAAATATTAAGACATCAGGTTTTTAATACACAAATAACTAGAAAAAATTAAAATGTTTATATCATTAGTATTACTTTCTCTCATGATGCTTGTAAAGAAGTTTTATGTCTGTGTAATTTGGTGCAGAAGATGTGTCAGGTAGTGTTTTAAATTTCCCTGGACAGCTTCAGTGTTTGTTGAAAATTAAATATGCTTAGATTAAACCTATTCCTTTCCCCCCATTTTTCAACTCTGATTATTGTCGCCTTCTGTCAAGGTTGTCATCTACCTCTATAATCTTTTCTCTTTACTGAGAGCAAACAGGAAATGTTGCAGTGATTGTATGTCATTTGAAAAAGTATGTACAATTACACCCTTGACATATTTATGGCAATAATAATAATATCTTCCATTTTTAAAGTACTTTATAACTTTCAGTTTTTTCCACATATTGTCTTATGTGATCCTCACCACAGCCACAGCCTCGTTTTAAAGGTGAAAGCATAGAGTGGGCACGAAGTTTCCTGTAGCTCATGCCTTTAGGAGAGGCAGTGCGGGGATGGAGTCCAGACTTTCTGATGCTAAATCATAAAAGCGTATTGGGTGCATGTTTGTCTTGGTCTGCCTTTCTGCTCCTTTTTATTCCCTTATCTCCATCATTTCCCATCCACTCCTCTTTCCTCACCATCCCCCTCATGCCATTTCTTTTCCTTCCCTCTGTCCATCTACTGGCTCTCAGCACCTTTCACACCGCAGGTGTGCTATGATTCACAGTGATGCAATGGAGTGATAAAATTTTATAGCCAGTTCACAAACCGATTCGTGTGGCTTTGGGAATAACCAAGAACTCAGATGTAAGCTTCTTGAGGTGAGGAAGTTTGTTTTGTTTACTGAAGCATTCTCAGAATTTAGCACAAAGGAGATGCTCAGTAAATATTCATTGCCCAGATGATTGAATGACCTAACAAAAAACTATGAGGTACACATGGGCATTCAGTAACTTTATTTACTCACAAATTATTGCTAATAAATTGACCCTCTGCTGTCCATTTGGTAACTGGTTTTGAGAGTAGGTATATAAATGGAATTTCTTTGTTGTGTTAGTGTATATCAGTGTTGCCAAGTGCTAGAATCATGATACCCCACAAGTGCAGTGTTTTGGACACACTAAGCATCCACAAGATTTCAGTTTCTGTCAGCATACCACATATTAAATCATTATAATTATAAATATATAGCTAAAATTGTGTTCTGGTTACCTTGAAGGCTTTAGATTCAATAGTATTTTGTGTCTCAACATGTTTAGGAGGGTTTTGGATTTCTGTTCACAAGAAGTAAACATCTGTGTCTTTTCGATGAACTTAAAATAATGCATGCAGCCTCACCTTGTCAGTTTTCATGAACTGTTGCATTCAGAACCTGCAGGGCAAATGTTCCAATTAACAAAGGAGCTGTTATAATTCTCCAAATGACTTTCAACCATAAAGGCATCTGCCTCTTAAAGACCAAAACAAAGAGTTAGAGAAAATATAAAGACCCTTTAGGTTTTATAAAAAGTAATAGGTATTCAGAGAGATAAAATAGCTTATGTGAACTTTTATTATTTTATCCATGTACTATGATATTCTGACATAAATCTATTTTAATTTTCAGGGCATTTCTTTTACTTGTATTTAGTAGAATGCCTTTTTTCCCCCATTTTAGACTCAGCTAGGTCAAGAATTACCTCT